GGTCTTTATTCCTGGAATAGGGGAGTAGCGTTCCCAGGAGAACGAGTGTGTCGTCTTTGTTAAACTGTGTTTTTTTTTTAAAGATAATTCCCCAAGTCAAAAATTTAGTAACTATATTGGCAACACAAGCCTTTTCTACATGAAAAATTTGAAAGCATTGGCACTTTTACATTATATTGCCAACATAATGTCATTTTGACTTTTATCTTTAAAAAAAAACGCACTTTACTTATATTATCATTTGCATATCATTGAGAAAGACGGAACACTCGTTCTCCTGGAAACGTTGCTCCCCTGTTTCAAGAATAAGGGCCCTGGATATATGTATCAATTATAAAGGTGTTCAATCAAAGGGTTTTGAACCGATTGGAGTTGGTTTGAATATTATTTTATAGGGCTGCCTTTCATATTTTGTCTTATTACAAATTTCGCATGTTTTGACATATGCTTGAACGTCTTTTTCTAGATTAGGCCAATAATATCGTTTCTTTAAAGATGAAACATTTTCTGTAACTCCACGATGCGATGTTTCAGTCTCATGGTATAGTTTAATTTTCTCTTGCTGTTCATCAGTTCCTGTTATGTCTTCGACAAAGGAATTGGAAATACATAACTTGAACGAATTCGAATTGAATGATGTACTTAGAACTCTAAGGGCGGGTATTATAAAACTACTTTGAGAGTTAACTTAAAGTTAACTTCTGAAAATACATGTAATTCAAAAAGTTAACTTCAAGTTAACTGTCAAAGCAGTTTTATAATACCCGCCCTAAGACCCATTATCACAATCGATGGTGACCAGAAGATGTCTGACGGATTAGGGTTAACTAGTAAAATTTCGTTTCACAATCTCAGGGATACCAAAATCTTTTGGTTAACCGCCAGTATACTTTACCAGCGCTTCATGTTTGGGTTTACCCTAGGTTTTCTCAAAAAATAACTTGCAACTACTGTATGTTTAAAAAATTCGTATATTTTAAAATATCATAAATAATATTATAAACGCATACGAAGTGACTACAGTGATAATGGGGTATTTGAAGTTGGAGATAGGGCTCCCAAAGCAAGAGTTTTTAGAGAAGGGTCTAATTATTTTGAATTACATGATGGGCAAGAGTTTTTTTGCTAGATTTTAGACTCCGGCCAAATACTAGTAGTATCAAAGTTTGTAGTATCAAAATGTACTTAGAACCAGGACCTAAATTTTTGAATGAATCAATAAAATGCGGTAGGTATATATAAATATTACTTAGTAATTTTATTTCACAAAAAAGTTATACAAGATGCAATACAACTATAAAAAAAGAAAAATACTAAATATAAAATAACAAAATATAAAATATAAAAATAAAAACAAAACATCAAATATAAAAAAATTCCTCCAAAGCAGATCCAACTGGAAGGGTCCCAAGCACTGACGCTGCATTTCCCCTTTGTACTGCTAGACTAATTTTTTGGGTAATGAAGCTAAATGCCTTTTTATGATTGATTTTCTGACAAATTTGTTTAATTAATCTTTTAGCTTCATTACCCCAAGGTCCGAAAGTTTCCACAGCAAACGGAACAAAAAGAAAACCTCGGTCCTGCAGTTCTTTATATTTGAGCATTTTTTGGGATTCACCAATTCTTGCTGCTTCACCAGCCTTAATCGCTGTCTTTGATACGTAAGTTTGAAACAAAGTATCTCGGCGTGTGGCATCCCAAAGTAATGCTTTACCACTCTTCCAAGGCAACAGAGACATTCCATCCACACGTTTGCCATCACTTCTACATATACTAGGTGGCTCTAGTATGGAAGGAATATCTGCTGATGCTAACGAGCGCTTTATTATATCATTGATCAACCTGTGACGGGTCACCCGACCTGCACTTTTTTTGCAACACAGGGCATGAAGCCCAAATTTATCAACTTAATTCGATCGTGTGAAAATTGTTTTACAAATTTATTTAATGTATTGATAAGTGATTGACTAGTTTCAATATTTACTTGTAAAAAAGTAACAATTTTGTCTTTATTAGACCATTTGGTTAAATTTAAAGTATTGCTTAAATTCTTCAAAGTTATTTCGAGAGTTTTAATACTGTTTCCAATAAGGGTAGTATTAATGTGATAACATGCAGTGTTATGTTGTGATGTGATAGTGGTTCCTATAGAAATCGGTAAAATAGGATTTCTTAATGGGGTTAACGTGTAGGCGTTACTGGAAATTCCTATGAGGAGGATGATGACAGCTGCCGGGAACATTTTGGTTTTTCTGAAACAAAATGTTGTCGCTCTACCATTTGTTTACTAAATCTAACTTGTGTTTTAGCACCATAACGAGGACTAATTTTATTTCTGTCAAATTGCTTAATAAACATAGGACCTTTTAATTCAGGTTCCTTTTCACGTTGCTCATTGATTTTCTTTAAATTCTGTTTCTTTTGATATTAATTTGTCATGAATTACATTATTTAGAGCTTCTAATGATTCGGCAAGATTATTGATATAATCTGTGGTTATCTTATTTTGGGAATTTTCAATAGGTATTGAATAATTTAAAGAGCCTTTAATTATTTGAAAAGGTGTATAACCTGTAAGACTATGTATGCTGTTATTATAATTCAAGATTGCAATTACCATTAAATCATTAATGTTTTTATTAGGGCTTTGTAATTTCAAGCTTGTTAGACTTTCTCTCAGGGTAGAATGTAGTCTTTCTATTAGAATTAAGGTTTCGAGGTGTCGTATAATGGAATTCGATTTTATGTAGTACATAAATCTGTTACAATTGCATTTTTAAATTCAGTTCCGTTATCGGAAGTTATTCTTTATGAAATTCCATGGTCACTGAATTATCTTATTAATTGTGATGCAATCTCAACTGAAGTTTTGCTAATAATTGGGATAGCTTTTGCAAACTTCGAAAAGCTGTCAATAATTGTTAAAAATTTTTGATTCGAAACTACGTATTATCCGTTCACAATCCGATATCCACAGGTAGGTACAGGTAAAATCACCTTTCAATGCTATTCGATAGGGAAATTTATCAACTTGGTTGTTGCAAGTGCAGATGTGTGGCATGCACACAGGTTGACCAACGCGAAGAGCTACTGAAATTTTGAACGTCGCGTCATCTAACAAATTACCGAGATTCGAAGAGGGTAAAGCATTCAGCCAAGCACCACTTTACTCTTCCTGCAAAGCAATAATCCTAGCTTTTTCAACACCACTATTATTTTTTTTTTTTTTTTTTTTTGCTGCTTTCTTGTCAGAAACCACCACTGTGGTTTGTCGACAAAGCCTCCAACATCACACACAAACCAAATCAAACAAACAAACAAACATCCATGCACCTAGCCGGGATTCGAACCCGAGACCCACTGCATGCAAAGCGAAAACACAACCGCTGAGCTGCTTGGGTCTGGGTCTTAGAATTTGAAATGATTTTAGCAATTGAAAGTTTACAAAATTCGAAATCAAAATCTTTTTGACATTTAAATTTAGTAAAGTCCGAAATATTTGTGATTATTTTGAATTGATTAATTGCCTCATTCTTTGCCGAATCTGTAGAAGACAAAATTTGATTTGGAAGGATATGAGGTAATACAGGAGAAACATTGGTCAAAGACCCCAAAAAAACCGAAAACACAACGAAGAAGTATCTCAAATGCCTAAGCCTCCCAACTTCACTGGTAAACTAGAAAGGGCCCAAGCATTGTCATTTAAAGTGCAATTTGTAATAGATTCTAAAGAAGACTTTAAAATCAAATCAAATTTTTTCAGAGTATCAGGTACTCTCCAGCAAGGAGCACAGCGCAGAAGATATGTAATTCTCGGAAGCGAAAATGAGTGTTTTAGAAGATAGTAAGCAATATGTGAATTTATCTTGATGAGTTTTTCTGAAAATTTTTTGAAAATTTCAATTTTAGTATTTAAAACTTTTTCAGTTTCGGCGGGAGAAAAAGGGCAGCCTAGAAGATTAATTTCTTTAATATTAGTGTTTTTTAGGTTCTTTATAATTGGTTCAAATTCTGAAGGAATTTGGTTATCTTTAAAATTTTCTATGATTGAAAATTCGCATTTACTAAAATTAATTTTAAGGCCAATATCAGAGCATGATTTTGTCAATACTTCTAAATCGGAGAAAACTGTATCTGGGTCGCCAGCCAAAATTCCATCATCCAGATTCCATAAATTAAGTTCCGATTTAAGTTTTGCAACTATGGAATGCAGTGACAAACAAAATAATGGTGGACCTAACGGATCCCCTTGCTGCACACCTCTTTGTGAGGAAATAATATGATCACCAAAAGAAAGATATGAAGGAGTCTGATAGCATTGATAAATAAAGTTGTAGAAATCTGGTATTATTTCCCCAACTTTATTTAAAATAGCTCCACGATTTACCATATTAAACGCGTTATAAAAATCAATTTTCAGAATAATTTTTTTTTAATTATGTGGAAAGGATATGTATTGTCGAAACGCATGTGTAATAATTTCACAACCATTTTTTGTTGCAAAACCTAGTTGCTTGGGACGAAAAAAATTTCCTAATTTATCATAAATTGAAGAACAAACAATTTTTGCTGCTAGTCTTCGAAAGCACAAACCCACGGCTATTGGTCTAATACCGCCATCTTTTTTATTTAAAGCTACCAAGGATGCCCCAAAGAAAATTGGAGCGATCATCGGTGGGATTGAAACTTTAATAATCAAATACAAAAAGGATGAGATTGATTGCAGAAGCTTGGTGGAAAAAGTACCGAGGTTTTCGTCTATTAAATCCTTAAGATGTTGAGGCTTGAGTGAATCGAGACCTCCAGCAGAACCTGGTCTAAATGAAGAAATAGACTTCTTGATATTATTCTCTGACAAATTCAAATCAGAATTTAAATTTGTTTCATTTCCGTTAAAACTAAAATTTTGTTCATCATCATGTTTCGGGTGTTTTTCTTGAAGTTTTCTTAAAGTGTCCTCGTTTTTAGGACCCAAAGTATCTTCTGATGAAATTAACCGAATCGCTCCTTTAATGTCCCCTTCTGCCATTTTTCCTTCAATTTTCTTCGATAGTTGATTGTCTTTTTGAGGATGGTTTACTTTCTTTATTTGTGGTGGTTTGTTATTTCTTCTTAAATAGTCATTAAGTTGGTCTAAAGGCAAAGTTGTCAGATTTTGCCAAATTGCTAAATTATCTTTGACTAAAGAAGTGAGTGATTTATTCCTGTTAGCAGTACACTTATCTGGAACCTTGAGAACTATGTATGAAAAAATAAGCAAATGGAACCAAGATTTTAGGCTATTCTCCTTGACACAGGTATTCAGAACTGAGGCCAATTCTTCAGATATACAAGTTCGTGCTCCTTTCGGAATTCTTTTGATAACCGATGTTGATGATTTCAATTTGGTGAGTAGAGAATTTATTGAAAATGAATCCAAAATATTATGTTCATTAGTATTATTAGTGGAGGCATTTACGTGTTTTATAGTAACATGTTGATTTATCCCTTTTTGTGTTTTGAAGCGTTTGTTGCAAAAATTGCATTGAATTTCTACTGATTTATTTTTCAATGATGATTTTTGTTGAGAATTAGCAGAAGAAATGTTATCGTTGACTTGTCTCTGCTTTTGAAAAGAATGGGATTTGGATTTATGAATATTAAGACCTCTTAAAGATTTGAACCATTTTTCGCAAGAAGAACAGAAAAATTGTTTATCCTTTTCCAAAATTGATCGAGAAGCTGGAGAAGTTTGGGACAAATTATCGGAAAAATCCAGGGAGAATTGTTGATTCCTATCATTGGACGGGCCGGCATCTCGCAGATCTTGAGGAAGAATTTTCCAAAATTTAATATAGTTTGAAAATTTATTATCCTGTGGATATTTTGGTACGTTGTAATTTGAAAAGGTTGATTCTTGGGAATCAAGAGATACTTCAGACATTAAAATTCAAACATACCTGACAACGTCGGAGAATTCTATTAGTGAACGTTCTTCTTAAAACTAGCCGCTGTCACTATTTTTATTTATTTTTTTTGATGTTTGATATTTCAATAATTTCACAAAAGTCAAAGTTATACCATTATCCCCACTCATCGTTCTATTTCCAAAAAAATCCTTCAGTCCGATCACTATAACTTTCCCAATAATTTAATGCCCTTCTCGACTTTCAAAATTCCAAGAAAACCACTTTTTTTTTAAAATTTCACGCAGCGATCTGAAACACGACTTGTACTTTTATCAAAAATTTATATTTTCACAAAAAACATACGCTGGAAACATTAGATTAATCTGGAATAACCGCAGTAGTAAAAATCTTCTAAACGGATAATTAAATACATATGTTTAAATTAATAGATATTAAAATTTAAAAAAGAAAAGAGGGATTATTGAGTCTGCTGCAAAAGTTCAAGTCAATAACAATAGTAGTGCTTGTTCTTGTTGAAAAAAAAAAAAAAAAAATTGTACCTATATTACTACTGCGCTTGGTCAGTAACAGTTATGGTAATAAAATACTACGCGTTGTTTGGAAGACAATTATTTTAACACAAAAAAACCTGCTGGCCTTATTCCAAAAATTAACTGAATAACAATTTGAATAGCTTCAAATTTCCTTGCTTGTTAATACTTGAAATACCCAAGTATAATTAAAATGTATAGAGGTACTTGGCTTAAAGATCTTTTTTTCAAATCAAAAAAAATAAATAATGACACACAGAAAATGGCATTCTATGATATTGACAATTGAGTTGGATGTTGGCATATTATGTATAGAATTTTTAATACCTATTTAGAAGTACCCGTCGTGACCTAACGTATGTCGCTTCTTGAACAGACAAATAAAATCAGGTTAGGAATTTCCTATTCGTACATAAATTTGACGTATTAGCAATCGACATTCATTTTTGTTGGTAATTTTTTGATTCATCTAATTCGTGATTGATAAATAAGGATAGGGTTATTCTAAATGGATATTAAAAATACTATAATTCTTTTTTTATCCATTTCACTGGCCACTGCTGCAAACGGACACTGAACGCATCATTCGCGTTACCAACCCTAGAAAAAAAGTTTAACCTCCGGTGAACTTAACCAGATGTCCCAAAAGTTTGGTGAAATGGTACTCTTATGGTAACCTCAGGGTATAAGTTACCTTAACCTTAAGGTTAACTGCACATTGTGACAATGGACCTAAGTATAATAGGTTCTAACGTTTTGTTGTGGAAATACATACAACACGTATTTGGTGGGAGATATTCTTTTATCAATTTAATAATTTGATCCTCTAATGGGTCATTAGGTAAAAAGAATGTTATTATTGTCTTGTTAGTAAATGGAATAATACTTTCTTTGCGAATAGCATTATTATTAGAGTATCTAAAAATGATTTGGTTAGCAAAAAGATTAACATGTTTTTTGGTATAAGGGGCTTATAGAATAGGGTTTTCAAGAGAAGTGTGAATAGTTTGATTGTCTTCGATTACTTCATTATCTTCTTGCATTAAGTCTTTTTCAATTATATCTGTTTCAATTGGATTTTTCTTCAATCTTTTTGGAGGTATTATTACGTGAGATAAAATTTTAATCTTAGGTTTTTTTTTTCTCTTTGTGGTGAATCTGCTGAACGAATAGATTCGGACAATGGAATATCTTTATGTTCGTCATTTATTTTAATTTCTTTGCCTTTATTAATAGGTTTCTTTGCTTGTATATGAAGTTTAAATATTTCAGTAGGATTGGGGATAACGGCTGGATTTTTTACGTTTTCTTCTTTAGATAGCGGGTAGAGCAGCCAAACAAGTTTATTTTTCTAAAATAATTCTTTATTACAAACCAAGCTTTCTATACTTTTTTGTATCTTCTTCAGGGCTAAAATTATATAAGTTAAAATTATAAAATTACAAAATTGTGACTTACTTGTGAATGAATTATTTAAAATAAAAACTGCATAGATAAGTATAAAATTTGTATTTTTTTGGTTGTTAAAACAAAGTCTTTTGTTATAGGTAAATTTTGTGCTATCTATGTTCAATTTTTAGTTTTTCATTTCTGGTTTTTTTTTTAATAGTTAAGGTAAAGGTTATAATTACTGGTTTATTTTTAAATTGTTAAAATATATGAATATATGGAACTTAAATCTTGAATATCTGCTCTTTTGTTCATTGAATTTTTTTCTTTGTTAATTTCAACCATCTCAAGAAAAAGTCTTTTGTTTAAATTTGTTTGTTGGTGTAAAATTTTAGCTTCATTGAAATTTATATTGTGTCCTGTTATATAAGAATGTTCACTAATAGCTGATGAGTCTTTTTTTAATCTGATGTCACTTTTGTGTCCAGAAATTCTATTTTTTAAATTTTGCTTAGTTTGGCCTATGTATATTTTATCACAATTATTGCATGGAATGGAATATACGATATTTGATTTATTTAGATTTGATGAACCAGATATGAAAAACTAAAAATTAAACATAGATAGCACAAAATTTACCTATAACAAAAGACTTTGTTTTAACAACCAAAAAATTTTTCAAAAAAAACTTTACAATTATAACTTTATAGTCGTTATACAAATTTTATACTTATCTATGCAGTGTTTATTTTAAATAATTCATTTACAAGTAAGTGACAATTTTGTAATTTTATAATTTTAACTTATATAATTTTAGCCCTGAAGAAGATACAAAAAAGTATCGAAAGCTTGGTTTGTAATAAAGAATTATTTTAGAAAAATAAACTTGTTTGGCTGCTTTACCTGCTATCTAAAGAAGAAAATTTAAATATTTCAGTATCTTTGAGATATTTTTCAATTATCTCGTCATTATTTAGTGGTGTGTCTTTTAACATTGCTCCTAAAGTTTTATGAAACTTTTCATCGGAATCTGATTCTGTACTTGAATCTGATCTGGAAATAGCATTTAGTTGTAAAGGAGGTCTTGATAATGCGTCTGCATTCATATTGAATGTTCCTTTTTTGTATTTGATTTCGTAATCATATTCTGCTAATTTTAATCTCCATCGGACTAATTTAGATCCGGGTTCTTTAACAGAGAATAACCATTGAAGTGGTTTATGGTCAGGTAAAATTGTAAAGGACCACGCACGATCTTATGAGAAAAAATAAATTTCACGATTGTTATGATATTGAAATATGTTATGCTTCTCGACCTCCTGAACATAAGTTCTCGTAGGCCTAAAAAGATCCTATGATTAGTTTCGGACATACAGGACCGATAAAAAAGTAGTACAAGAAAAATCTCCAGAATATGCTGGTACATTAATTTAATTCCTAACCAAAAATTACATATTTTTGGCATTTTTCGACAAGTTTTCAACCTTCAAAGCTTCAGATGACATTACTTTGGCATTTTTCCACCCGTTTTAAACCTAGAATATGTTATTGCCTAAACTCAACATATTTTGAAATCTTTATTTTTTGTCAAAATTTTGTATGTTATCTTGGCCCTGTATCTCCGAAACTAATCATAGGATCTTTTTGGGCCTACGAGAACTTACGTTCAGGAGGTCGAGAAGCATAACATATTTCAATTTCATGATAATCGTGAAAATTATTTTTTCTCATAAGATCCGTGCGTGGTCCTTTCTGTCCAAATAAGTATGGTCTAAAGTATTTAGTTGGCTAGTAATTCTTTTTCAATTGTGGAATAATTACATTCCGCAGGATTTAATGTACGACTTGCGTAAGCAATTGGTAAATCTGAACCTACTGATCCTTGTGACAATACAGCGCCAATAGCATAATTTGATGCGTCTGTAGTTAATAAAAATGGTTTATTGAAATCAGGGTGTTGTAAAATAGGATCATTGATTAATAAGTTTTTACAAGTTTCAAAAATTTTTAGAAATTCAGAATCGTGAATTAATTTTTATCCTTTTTTAAACAAATTGTCATTGGTTTTGTGATTTTAGCGAAGTTTTTTATGAACTTTCGATAATATCCTATCAATCCTAGAAATGATTTAATTTCTTTTATTTTTAACCATATATGAAATGTTGTCATTACTGACTTTTCAAAAATTTGAAAATGTCACATTTCTGTCTTTTCATTTTCCTGGTCCATTACCTGTCTCAGGACGGGAAATGAGGACGGGAAATTTTTTCCGTCCTTATCTCCCGACCACGGACGGAAAATGGAGCAGGGAAATATTTCCCGTCCTCATTCCCCGTCCTCATTTTCCGACCTCATTTATTTGGTTGTTGCGAATTTTTTTTTTTTTTTTTTTTTTTCAAGAAATTATGGTTAAAAATAAAATCGACGGGAAACTTCATTGCTGTCTCGAGGTACAGTTTATCTCGGCACTACGCGTCTCGATAAACTATATGACCTCTCGATCAGCAATGAAGCATTTCCCGTCTCGGATTGTAATATACTATTACGGTTTTTGGGATTGGAAATTTCTTTATTGCTTCGATTTTCTTTGGGTTTGGTTCAATACCATTTGGGGTTATACATGTCCCAAGAATTCTACTGATTTTTTTCAAAAATTCTGATTTATCTGATTGGATTTTTAGATTAAATTGTTCTAATCTTTCAAATATCTTTTTAAGATTTGCAATATGTTCTTGAAGAGAAGTGGAAAATATAATAATATAATCCATGTAAACTAGACATATTTTGTTTTGTAAACCTATTAGTACGTTGTCCATAACTCTTTGAAATGTGACTGGGGCATTTTTTAATGCAAAGGGCATACGGTTAAATTCGTAATGTCCATTTTCTACATTGAAAGCTGCTTTGCTTATTGAGTTTGGATGCATTTCAACTTGGTGGAATCCAGAAGCTAAGTCTAGAGTAGTAAAATAATTAGTTCTTCCAAGTCTGTCAAGAATGTCTGTTATATTTGGTAATGGGTATCGATCGTCTATCGTTTTTTCATTGATTTTTCTATAATCTACGACCATTCGCCATCTCTTTATGCCTGAAGC